ATGTTGTTTAGGTATAGCCTCTTTTATTCACTATGCATTGATATTACTGATTCTAGTGTACCTTTTTTAAGTCTGTATCTTGGTTCAAAAATAACTGAATAGAAAAATCTCTTCTCATGGATTTTCAGTGAGAAACAGACCAAATTCTATTATGTATTTCTTCCTCTTACTGTATTGATTCAAATGCCATACATAACTGGTTTTGTGCATCTCAAGTGAAATACCTGCTGGCATGTGCATAATAGTAATTGCTCTTTTACGTGGCATCCTCCAGTCCATTTGATAAAAAGGAATTTTGCCAGTAGTTCATTCTGCTCCTTTTGTGAGCATGGTATTTGTCATTAACTTTGTGACTGATAAAATAAGTCCCTTGGCAATAGTTTGACTTCTACCTTGTTTCCCTATAAGGAGTGCAAATTCAGATAAATTGTGGTTTTTGGCTCTTTACTTTCTTTAGCAATAGATTTCATCACTTTTGTGCTGGAAAGCATTCCTTGGTACTTGTTCTCAAAAGACTCACAGAAGTCACTGTGCTTTGTTTGAAAGTGATACAAAAACTGTGATGTCTTTAGGCCACTGGTCCAACCAAGTTTCATAGCAAATGAAGCTAGGAGCAAACAGAATGATGATGACTCAATAAATCAAAATTGGAAATATCTATTATTTTAATTTTCTATTTATAATTTTTTCTTTTCAGCTGCTTATGTGGCATCAGTCTTGTCCTAACACAGATTTATATTCTATTCACTGTGTTAAAAAGTCCTGTTCATTTTTAAGGTTATGATGTTTTTATGAGTTGCATATTTCCAGCTCTATTTTCATTACTATTTTAAACTCTTCAGTGAATAATTGAAGCATATTTATTACTTGGAGATAAATAAAATATATAAGTGTCAACAGCACTCAAAAGATCTGAAAATACATTAGCTGAGATGAACTGAACCGATAATTAGTGTGAACACAATAGATGCAATTTTCATAGAACCTTAGCAACCTTTAAAATCATAATGTTCGATATGAGGATTTAATTAATTATGCCTTCCAAATTAGTGAAAGATATGTGGTCCATTCTTTGAAAAATACTGGGTTAGAAGATCGTAAGACACTGCTACTACTGTGGCCAATCAGTTGGCTGCAAGTGTTAGATGTCTTCAGAATAATACTGTGTGTTGTTTCACAATACCCATGTTTCCATGATGCCAAACTCTTTTCATTTGGAATTTATTTTGCTTGGATTTAAAATGGATACAATTGTTATGCTACCTAGTTACTAAAATTTTTTATATCTAGTTGAAAAATATTTACTGCCCTTCAGATTTTTCATTGGTCCATCATACTCTTTAATTGATCACAAACTCTTGAGCTATAGGTTTGCTTAAATAGAAAAAAATGTTTTACTACTAGATGGGGAGTAGGAGGCAATGAAGGAAGTCAAGAGGAAGGGGATCTGAAGTACTTCATCTTGGGCACATGTAAGTATCTTCTTTAATTCTGTAGGCATTGGAGTGCCAACTACTTCCTTTTTCTTTCCTTCTTCTCTGGGTGCAAAGAAAATGACTCTCTGAGGAGCTCTCAGTTTACAAACTGTATTTATAGCAGTTTCAAGATAAGTTTAGAGAATTTGGGATCATGTTTCCTTTCTGTTTCCTGATGTTTTAATCTCTGTGCTACCATTCTCCCTTTACCTAGGGTCAAAAATCTTATCTTTGGTTCATTCTTCTTTCATACCTCATATTCAGTCAGTGTTTCAAAACTTGACCAATATTTTTAAGATGTAGCCTTCATTATTTCTGCACTGCTACTTTCTGGTCCAGGTTCCTGTCTGAGATTACAGTAGTTTAGCCAGTCACGTTGATTCTGTTTTCTCATGCTTTTAATATTCCAGTTTATTTCTTACCCTTATATCAGTGTTCCTTTTTCAGCTGCTCTAAGTCCCCCATTTTTAGGGAGTAGACACTAATTTTACCCTACCTAAGCAAGCTTGTTTTCCACTATTCTCTGTCATAGGGGAGGGGAATTCTCATTTACTGTGTGTCTCATTACTGCTCTTGTGCCAGGCAGGGACTGTGCTAGGTACTTTACATATGCTTTAAATTCTCAGAACTACATGTAAGCTTGGCATTCCTATTTCCTTTTTACATATATGAGGAAACTGAGGTTTGCAGAAGTTACATTAGTTGCCCAAAGTCACAGCTAGCATGGATGGAATAGGAAGTTAAATGATCCATTTCCATGATCTCCCAAAGCCAACATTTTTTCCAAATCTCTGTCTTGTATAGAATTCACCTTAATCAGGATGGCTTTCCTTGGTATCTCATATATATTCTTAATATCATGTCTGTTCACATGGCTCTTTTTTCCTGAAATTCTTCTATTCCTCTTTCTACCTATCCAGATTATATCCATCCTTTTGGATCAGCTTAAGTTCATTTTTGTATGCGTGTCTGAATTCTGTTTGTCTTTTTTCCCTCAACTTTTATAGCACTTTTAATGTCTTACTCTATTCCTGTAGCTCATATGTGTTAGTCTTATGTCCTCAAATGGAGTAGAAATTCTTTGAGGAAAAAATCCAAATTTATGCTGCTGCTTTAAACCCCACAAGCAGGGTACAGCACATAGAAGGCTGCCAACAAATTCTTGTTGGTTGATCATATAGTGACATTTTTGGGAGAATTTGTTCTAGATTTCAAAGGTTTAAATTGAAACTCAAATCATCTTTGTCTTTTTGGATTTCCTTGTACACTAGCTTGTATTAATATTTCAAAGATAAATATAAACTCTAAACTGCTACCGTTAGAAGAGTGAAATGCTGAAGAGAGCCATAATTTTTACTTTAAAAATTTCATTTCATTCAATTTTTATCATGCTATTAAAATTAGCTACCTTAATTTTTAAGTTCTGTAAGTTAGCATGAAAAAGACTAATGACATTTTGCAAGACTCTCAACTTTCTAACCTGTTCTCCTGCCCACTAACTTTATTTTGGGAACATCAGTCAGAATATATGACATATTGGTAATAATATAAGATGCCCTTTCCACAAATATTAAATTGTCGTTAATAGGGATTAAAAGTTCAGTGGTAAATTGAACCAACTTTGTTGAGAATAAGCTTAAGTAGTTTTATTGACTTTTCCTGTGTTAGGATGACTATGCTTTAATTATAATGAAACATTGTACTCAGTTTGTTTTGAGTTTAGAGAAATTGATGGCTTAAACTTGCTTTTTGTGTAACACTAACATGAATCTAATTTTTTTAACCTCATAACTATATATTACTTGTTTTTGAATACTCATTTATATAATGAATTATCTAAAAGGTTTATTACTTTTTTCCTGCTCATTACTAATGCAGATTGGATTAATTTTTTAATTCTTTTCAGTTATTGATAGAATATGTATAATTTACTCTGGGGTTAATCAGATTTTCTAGTGTTATATTCCCTTATTTGCTACACTATTTATTATTTTAATTCTGGTTTTAGTTTTTCTCTGAGTTTGACTGATGTTTTTCTGTGGTAAAACTAATCTTTTTTCCCTCGTTTTATTATGTTAGTATAGAATTAGATGAGATGCTTTCAGAGGAATGACTTTCGTTAGGAATGTAGGTTTAGTTTATGGTGTCCAGTGTTAACATTTTTCTAGTTTTCAAGGTATCCCTTTGAAATAGATCACCCCTTTTTGGAGTTGGTTTCTGTTTTAGTTAAGCAACAGAAACCGACCTCGATTAACTTAGGCAAAAATAATTTGTTGGAAGGATACTGAGTGATTCACAACTTTGAATTAAGAACTAAACAGCTAGGCCTTGGGAAAGATGGGGACTAGGGATTTCTGGGGCATAGAAGCAAGAACTAGTAGACCTCACTTTTAGAGAGAGATCATCAGGTGATTGAATCCTACTTACTTTGTGTTTGCTTTCAAAATTTAATTCCTGGGAGAGCAAAAAAAAAGTTGGATCACTTCCCCACACCCTGTTGTTGTTGGCGATGGTAGCTTGGGTGTATGTGTGGGTATAGTAGTGAGTGGTGTACAGTGTTACATGATTGGCAGTCTGGCCAGAATCATAGGACATTGAAATATAGTTATTCAAAAGAATAAATGAGGGATTCTGGACAGACGAAACAAGAGATGTCCACTAAATTTATATTTTTGTTATCTAGTACATATAGGTGGACACATACACAATTCCAGAATATTTACTCTTCTCACATAACTATTCTGTATTCAGCTGCAAGCAAACTAACCTTATCCCCAGTGATGGACAACCCAAAGTCTTATCCAACTACTGCTGCAATTTTATTTGAGAATTAGGAAATGTAATTCTTGGTGAGTAGTTTGGAGGGTGGTGGAAGCTATATTTAATAAGTTAAAATGAGATTGAGTGATGAGAAAGAGGAACCAATAGATATAGGTCCAAAAATATTATTATTTTTTTATAGAATTAGATTATTTAAAAATAGTAAAACCATATAGTTTATCATTTTGAGGGTAAAAGGATACAGTATAAGTAATTATGTTGTAACATCAGGCATAAACCAGGACATGTCGTCACCATATTTAAAGGTTCTGTACCTGTGGTTTATTCTATATTAAGGAAATGGTATAACATGTTTAATAATGCTTATTATTCTTTTTCAGTGTTCTTAAACATTTTTTGAGTAGTAATCACTATTGTAAAACTGGATGCTGTCTGACATCTACTAGAGTATCTTTTTATTTAGATGTAAGATTTTTTTTAATTAAAGTAAAAAAGTAACTATAGTGTATATACAACAGATAATTGACAATGAAGGGAGATTGGAATATCAGAATTGGAACTTTTTGCTTTATCTTCTATGAAATACAGGGTTCTCTAGTTTGGCATAGATAACTTTACAGAACCCAGATATTTTTTAATGTATTTGTTTTCTTTTCCTATATATATTGTCATAGTTATTTTGCTCGTGTGGTATAATGAATGCTATTATCTGTTTATTGTGAAACATTTTTCTGTTTTTTTTAGCTGACATCTGAAATGTTTGAAGCAGACCTTGAGAAGGCATTGTTGCTAAGTAAATTAGAATATGAAGAGCACAAAAAGGTATTCACATATTTATTGATTTGGACATTTTAGAAGTTTAAGTGGTCAAAAGTTAAGACCATTTTTCCTGAATTTTAGATAAAAATTCTAAAATTTGTCCAAAAAGTCATTATTTTAATAAAATAATATCAAAATGTTTTCATAGTAAGATTCCTCAAGTTTTGAGAGACAACTGGTACATGTGTACTAAGCTTTGTCTGGTAATTTGGAATGTTTAATTAAGAAATTCTTCCACCCAAGATGAATGGAAGGAGAGGAAATGAAATTCACAGCAGATTATTTATTTTAACTTATTTTAAAGGAACATGAGAAATAACTAGATTTCAGTCTAGGAACATTCATTAAGAGACCCTTTGCTGGACATTCACTACACTTAACTAAAGTAAATGGGAAACCATTTCTGATATTTTGGCCCAGTGAAATTCACCATTTGTCACTGAGCATTAGTATTGGAGTGTGTGCTGAAATGCATACTATAACTTGTGGTTGTAGGAACATTTAAGTAAAACATAGTATTGGTTTCCAGTTTCTATATTTAAATTGTTTAAGGATTTATTATTTTCATATCGTTTAAAAATTTAGCCCTTTATACTTAATGAGATGTTTTGTCTGTAAAATTTATTCTTGCTTGTGATTACTCAGTGGTTGATCATTTGTGGTCACTGGTCATGCTTAAGGGCCTTTGGCTTTTCATCCAAGATGAAAGGAAAAGAGAAAATAAAATTCACAGTAGATGATCTTGATACTTATTTAATGTTTGGGAAAAGGATAAAAGTTGCAGATAAAATGAATTTTGTATACTATATGTGTTAGTTCTGTTTTCCACATCCCTATTTCTTTTATTCTGAATGATCAAGAATGTTACTTGTCCGTTTAGACACCAGTCAGGCAATTATAAAAATGGATACATCTAGCTTTGCTATGATTTAATCATTTAAGTAGACTTTCAGGTTACGTTGGAAAGCTCCTGTCTTGCTCAAATAGGAGGTAGAATTTAGCAAATGGAATATTATGTTACAATAATGATTTGTTGTTAGGTGTATATCTAGATAATAAAGCTAAAAGAATTAGCTGTATCTATAAAGGAGGAATATAGTAGATGGGGTTGATAAAATACCATACTCCCAACAGAGGAAGAAAGTCAGGAATGGGAGGAGGAAATGGAGTATGTGGCTAACTGCCTGCACAAAGAGCTGCCTCCTTTGTTACGAGACCAGAAGAACTGGATGCTGCCTGGCTACCATTACTGAACATTTTGTTCAAAAACTCCTGATCAGAAGAGGGTGAATGCAGAACAGAATTTCAGATTCTCATGGACTCCAAACTTCATGGAGCATGGAGGCTGGATGAATCCCTGAAACTATTGCCCTGAGACAATCTTTAAACCTTAACCCAAAAATATCCCCCAAAGTCTTCTTAAAACCGAGCAATAGTTTAGCTTAACTACTAAAGAATGTCTGCCTTGAGCATTATGCTCTTCTAAGATTTATCTGCGTAGGATCAAATTGACAACAGCAACTCCAAAGATTAGATAAAGAACCTTAGTGGGCAGTGAGTTCATATTAATGGGGGAGGAACGACTCAGAAAAGGAGAGCGAGAATGGTTGCACATCTCCATGTATCATTACTGAATGTAATCAGCGTCACTGAATTGTACATGTAGAAACTTGAATGGGTATATGTTTTTGTTGTGTATATTCTCAACAGCAACCAAACAAAAAATAAATTATTAAAAAGACCCTATAATTTTGGAAATGAACAACCAGAATAGAAATAATAATGAGTGTTGACACATTGTAGAAATGTAACCAGTGTCACTAAACAATTTGTGTAGAAATTGATAAATGGGAACCTAATTTTCTGTGTAACAAACTTTCACCAAAAACACAATAAAATATTATTTAAAAAAAAAAAAAAGACTATCGTGCTCCCAGCCAATTTTCTTAGCAGAGTTGTAGGCCTAGTACCCCAAAATACTGGTTTTTCAGACAATAAAGACTGTCAGAAAATTGAGGGATTCCTTGTATGTATGGATAGTTCGATATAGTCGTGTTTTAAGTCAATGTTCCAATAAAATAACTATTATTTTTTAACCTAAAAAATTTTATAATTGATTACTAAAGTTTGAGATGGCATTTTCTATTCTATTCTGTCACTCATTCACCAAATATATTTTGAATAGCCAAAATATGCTAGGCACACAAAATACAAAGATAAAGACACGGTCCCATCCCAATAGTTTAGTGGAGGGAGACATACATATAATTGTTTTTTGAGAGCCGTATGTTTTCAGTGCTGTTGGGAATCCAGAAAAATAGAAGAATTTTCTGTACCTTTGATGGTGATGGATTTTAGGAAAGAATTGTTAAAGAGGAGTCTTAATAGATCAATTACAAGTTCACTAGGTAGACAGTAGGAAAGCAGACATTCCCAGGCAAGGACTAGCAAGCATTCAAGACATGTACCATACGAAAGAGCATAGCATATTTGTGAAAAACTGTAATTTAGGAACCTAGAGTCATTGGAGATAATGGTCAGAAGGATAGGATATAAAGAACTTTATGTACCAAGCAAAAGAGATTGAGTTTTATACGTCTGTCATTAGAGAGCTATTGAGTATTTTTAACTTGTGGATTGATTTCGGATTTTCATTTTAGAAAGTTGTGCTGTAGCAGTGTAGAAGATGGATTGAGGGGCTAAAATTAGAAACTGTGGTGTCCAAGCAAAAGAAGATAGAGAAATTAACAGAGGGTACAAAGAAAAGAGAATAGATTTAAGAGATATTTAGGAGATAAAATCCACAGGACCTAGGGACTAATTTGGGTATAGAGTGTGTAGCAAGAATAGACAAGGATGACTGTAAAGTTTTTCAAGGGGACATTTGTGTAAATGATAGTGGCAATAAACAAGGTAATTGCTATAGAGTTAAGTGGGGAAGCCAGAGTGAGTGAGATGGAAAGATACCACATTTAGTTTCGAGATGCTTATTGAACTTTCCAGGTGAGTTGTCTATACATGTAGAAGTCATCAGTATATAGGGAGAACTTTAAACTTTGAAGAATAAGGGTATAAAGCCTAAGAAAGGAATAATGGTTAACAGCAACTACTTTTAAGAAGAGGGTTGGGGAAGAGAAACCGGTGAAGGATACATAAAAGTAGTCAGAAATGTTTGAGAAAATCAAGAGATGCTTTAAAATAATATCTGTTGGATTTGGCAGTTTGACCTTAACTTTAGTGTCAAGAGAATGGCAGAAGCCAGATTCCGGTAGGATGAGAAATGAATTGAGAGGGCAAATTGACTATAGATTATTGTCTTAAGTTTGGTCCTGAAAGGAAGAAGAAAAAGGTGGCCATTAGGAGGTGGTTATAGGCCAAGTTATAAATTTTTGTTTTTATTATAATGTTTAAGATGCATGGGATAGAGTATATAAACAGGTATCCTTTGGCTAGCTTATTTGTTAGTATTTGTTTTTTATTCTTAAAAAACAGAACTTTAAGAAATATGTTACCTGTTAATGGATTGATGTTACTAGTGTAAAGCAAGCTAATTATTGTTGGTAATTCCTTTTAGGAATATGAAAATTCTGAATATTCCTCAGCTCAGTCAAAGGGTATGAATAAAAAAGATAAAAGGAAGAATCATCAGGGAAAAGACAAACCTCTCACAGTATCACTAAAAGATTTTCAATCTGAAGGTAATATATGTATGAAATGTATTATACTAGAAGAACTATTCCTTGTAAGTCTCTGTATTTGCTCTACAAATTAAGTAGTAAGTAACCTTAATTTTTAAAAATAAGTAATAATTGTTTTGTTGTTATTTAGAATATAAAACAATGTAAACTTGATGGAAAAAAGCTAAACCATTTGAGGATTAAAGTAATGTAAAATCAGTAATTAAAAGCCCATAAAACTTCAATAAGAATTTCTTTTGTATGCTGAGTTTGTCCCTTTTCTAAAACTCACTGGAAGTAAAAACTGACATTTATAGTTTTTGAGTTATCTTGAAACACAGTACTGTCCTTCTACATGAAGTGATTTTGCTTACATGAGGCAAGGGATAGTATCTTCAAATTTCATCTGTTGTTGGTCAGCCTTTTCAAGTTATTTGCAATTGTATCTTAGAAAATTAAAATAGAAATTTTAGAATGAAACTTATTACTAGAAAACTGTTCATAATATCATTTGTGTTTTTTATTGAACAAAGAAGACAAATTATGCCATCTACCAAACTTTTGAAGACAGACCAAAGCACATTCTTCTTCTTATTATTAAGGCAGATTATTTTTTAATGCAGGAAATGGTAAAAACCCTAAACCTCCACTGTCTAATACAGTAGTCACTATTGACATGTGGCACTTTAAATATAAATTAATTAAAATTAGCTAAAAGAAACAATTCAGTTCCTTAGTTGCATTAGCCACCTCTCAAGTGCTCAGTAGCCACAAGTGACTAGTAGCTTCCATATAGAACAGTACAGATATAGAACATTATGATGATCACAGAAAATGTATTCGACAGCACTGCACCTATACTATCAGAATAATTGCTGACCAAATGAACAGCTGTTTGTTCATTGACAAAGCAATATATTTGATTCGTATGAATTTAGCCTTACATCATGCATTTGTTCTGTGAGTATTAATAATAACACAGCAATAATCTCAAAGAAAAAAATCTAAATACTTCTCTTGTTTTCAGAAACAACGCCTGTCTGTGAAATGAGGAATAAATTTAGAGGGTTATATTGCTCTCATTTGAGGATCCGAAAAGTTTCTCCTATAATCTGCCTCTCTGATTAAGTTGTTTTGCTTTGGGGTTAACAGAATACATGCATGTTAAAATAAAATTTTCAAGCTTAGTATCTTAGTCATCCAATGCTGCTATAACAGAAATACCACAAGTGGATGGCTCCAGCAAAGAGAAGTTTATTCTCTCACAGTCCAGTAGGCTACAAGTCCATATTCAGGGCGTCAGCTCCAGGAGAAGGCTCTTGCTCGCTCTAGCTTGCTCTCGCTCGCTCTCTCTCGCTCTCGCTTGCTCTCGCTCTCTCTCTCGCTCTCTCTTGCTCGCTCTCGCTCTCTCTCGCTCTCTCGCTCTCTCTCTCGCTCGCTCTCGCTCGCTC